GGACAGCCTCTTTCAGGTTTTTCATGTATATGTGAAATAGTATGGAGAATCATGGAACTCTGAGATATTTCATGGGCTAATGGTCTTGGTTTTGAACAGGATTCCCACAGCACCACTACCATTCACAAAGTGACACCCCACAAGGGAAAACCCTGGAAGCTGATTCCTTTTTTCATCAGTTAACCACTTCTTACCCAAAGTCAAAGAAATTGTCAGGATTGTTTTTCAACAAGTATGAATGGTATTGAGCAGAAGAGGATATTCTGAAGACCATATTGACCCTGTGAAATAAAAAAGCAGCAAAATTTCACTTTTTTAGATATGCACATTTTCTTTTATCAGTGTGTTTCATCTGTTTTAAAATAGGTGGCACTCCAGATTGCACAGGCTTAAAACACTGTTACTTTTCATAACCTGAAAACCCTTTGCCCAAATGTCCTCATATTTGGCACAGAGGAACAGCAGACTTCTTGATAGATCTGTGCCAAATTTGATGCTGATACAAGATCCAGTTTCATAGTTAAAATTTTCTGTTGGGAGCATCCCTACTTTTTTTAAGATGGCTGATGGAATTCTGAATGTTCCTGTGAGCATAATATATTGGAGCCCGACTTAGGCACCAATAATTTGTTTTGCCATTCATATCATTTTAATGTCTATGAACCTGTTGTATCAGAAAGAAGTACGTTTGCATGTGGACTTGCCCTTAACATCAAAAGGATTTACCCAGAGGTCCCAAAATCCCCAAGTCGGCATGAACACCTGTTAAAAATAAATGGCAACTTCATTTCAGGTGAGCCTTTATGCCCCTTAAGTACCATTCCATGCTCAAAGTGGAAGTAGCCAAAAGGAGCCGCTCCTATTTCTTCGGCATTGTAAGGCTGAACATGAAAAATTGACCTTGAGTCAGAGTTGTTTGTGAGGGTGGAGGGAGACCAGAGTTAGTGATGTTCAGAGCACTGATCACTTGGTGCTGGGAAAAGACTGTTAACCTTTAAAAACAGCACCAAAATATTCTTGTTAATTTGCCGTTTGATCAGTTTCCTTTTGGGGCAGACTGTATTTTGCATTAACAAGTAAGCCCCACCTCTTTCAAACCCTTATGTTCCTCAAACCTCCTCCTCCTCCTCCATCTTCTTGGTAAACTGGCAGACTTTGCATTTTTCAGAATGGCTTACACAGCTTTTGTAGAATTGCCCCCCCCCCCCCCAGATTTTATATTTCAAAATAAAGAGCAGGGAATGTGAACAAGACAACAGATATTTTTCTTTACATCACGTCTGGGATTTAAATCTCTGATCCCCAACCACCAAGTAATTTTAAACTTAACCATTAGGCTGGGTCAAATTCCTGTCCTTCGTCATCTTCAGAGAGTATTGTCTTATTAAGTTAAAAAACACAATAAAAGGGAGAGGTGATGGAGGGCATTGTTGTGAGATTGCTGACATGTATCTGTGAGCAGGACTAATCGCTATGGATTGGCACTGATGAAATATCTCATCACAAGCTTTGGCTGGGTAAAGGAAAGTTTGCAGCCCACGCTATTGAGATCAGGTTTCTCAGAGAAATGTACTGGCTAGAAGGTGGCCTGTGATGCAGAGACCACTCCGGCCTGTCCTGGGAAGGAGAACTCAGTCCCAGGAAAGGAGGAGGGGGAGCAAGGCACTCCACCATCCCATCTATCTCTGGTACCGATATGGGGTGCGTGCATACATGAGATCATTTCCTACCGTTTGACACAAGACAATGAGAACAATTGGAAGCCGTGTAATTATGCAAGGGAAGGAGGTAGCACAGCCGTGTCTCCGGGCTGTGACTGCCTTCAGCGTATGGAAGGACATAAGACGGAAGATGCCTTCCATATTAGTGGGGGTTCTCCCACAGGAATCAGAACCATGGCAAATTAGGTGGTGGCTGCTGGGAGAAGGAAAAAGTGTCAGGGACATTGATCCCAGGGACAGTGAATGCCAGGACTGTTGGTAGCACTAAGAGCCCCAGAATTTATATATATATAAATTCTTTAACCCTCTCTCTCGTAGACACACATACACATATGTTATATTTAGATATAAATAGAAATCTCAAAGGAAACATTAAGGGGACTAAATGAACAGAACTAAAATTAAATAAAATTATTTTTATGAGATTCAATCATGGTACGTATATGGGTGGATGCGATCCATGTTACAAGCTCGCGCCTGTCCGCCCTGCCCTCTGCAAATTATGAGTGGGCCTTCTCCCAAGGCATAACCTTGTGTGTCTGAAAGAGCCGTGGAGAGGGGACCTCTAAACTGGGCTCTCAATGACAGGCAGGAACCCTATCTCAGATTAAGCAGTGGCTCTGCTTCTTGTTAGAAGACCAGCAGTTGTAAGATTGAATCCACACAACGGAGTGAGCTCCTGTTGCTTGTCCCAGCTCCTGCCAACCTAGCAGTTCAAAAGCATGTAAATGGAAGTAGATAAATAGGTACCACCACGGTGGGAAGGTAACAGCGTTCCATGTCTAGTCGCGCTGGCCACGTGACCACAGAAACTGTCTTCAGACAAATTCTGGCTCTATGGCTTGGAAATGGGGATGAGCACCGTGCCTTAGAGTTGGACACGACTGGACAATTGTCAAGGGGAACCTTTACCTTTACTTTATCTTCTTCTTGTACTTCCCTATATTGGGCAGAGAGCTGATATTCCATAATAAAAGCCCTTGCTTTTCAGGCAGAAGGGCCAAGGTCCCCTCCTGACCCCTTCTAGCAGGTGATGAGTGAGCCTCTCCCTGAGGCCCCAAAGAATAATCATTGCAGTTAAAGGAGTCGATTCTGGGTCAGGCTGGCAAGTGATCTGACTCAGTGTAAGGATGAATTCTGGTAGTTCTAGGCACAAGCATGGGGGAGAGAGCAGTCACATGATCTGAAGAGATCTGGTGCTCCAGATGGGGTGCTTTGAAATCTCCGGTGCTGAAGCATCTTTAAAAGGCTGGTTGTGGCCACCTCAATCTATTTTGCTGCCTGAGGCAAACACAAGATGCCTCCCCTCCCCAGTCTATGCCCTGACGCAAACAGCACCATTGCAGTTTTCTCCTTCACTGTCATAGTGTGCTTTACCACACCCGACAGGGAACAGGCTAGTTTAGGGGATGCAAGAGAGAAGAAGGTGTGTCACACTGAGGGGAATGGGGGGGGGAGTCAGAAATAAGGGCTGGGAGTCTTCCACTGCTGCTCCTGACGTTGGGCAATACACACAGGGTTGGTGCTTCCAGAGGGAAAAGATAACAAAATAGACCAGCGTATTTAAAAATGACAGGTGCTCTTTATTTGTCACGCAGCTTTGCATGGGTCCATAGCCATGAGAATCAAGCATTAAGGAATTCAGTGTTAACAGTTCATAAAACTGCAGCAGCAACAGAAACAATCACCTTTCCCAACATTTTTACTTCAAAGAGCAGAATCAAAAGTGTTTTGTGGTCAGAAAACGAGGCTGGGGCGTGTTGGAACATAGGGCAGGACCAGATCTTATCGCGAGTGTCTCGAAACAGCTTTCCTTTGGCAAGTGCAGGTGCTTTTACGGCTCTTCGGCTTTAGAACATCTCTGTTTGAAATTACAATGGACACGTTCAAACAGGAGAAAAGCTTTAGAAAGCATGTCTGGAGTGAGCCAAATCCATGCAGCCTGCCAACCTGGGAATCCCCTTCCTGTGCTCTGTAACTGTCTGTTCAGCCTGGAAGTGAAAGCTGTTAATTTAGCAGAAAACTTCACTTTTAAGTATGCCCTTGAATCACAGTGGTATCCAAAGAAACAAAGGAAGTGTTTAAAGTTAACAGTCTGCTAGATGGGGTGCGGCTGTGGGTTTCTTTTTTTTTAAAAAATTACATCTCTAGAAACACATCTGCAAGTTTGAACCTCTCGCGAGTGAAATGAGGATATTGATAAAGTTGAATAATTCCTTGAGCAGCCAACTAAGCCACTAGAACATGATCTAACTGAAAGAGTGTTCCAGTGGAGCATTTGCCTTCCAACAAGGATTTCTTGGAATAATTGTAGAGGTGGGAGTGTGTGTGCACACAAGTTTGTTGAAATTAGACTATTCTGTGTGGTTTGCTCTTAGGGAGTCTGATGCTGCAGCCCTGGTGCTAATCTTCCACAGACAACCCATGCCAACAAAACATTGTTGTGTGCAATATACATATATGTGTTGCATATATACCATGCATATGTGGTACAGTATATGCCTACACATACACACTCAAAGGCACTCGGGTACAGAGAGAGCCTGTTGCTTGACAGAGAGGTTGGTCTTCTGTATGTCTCAATTGATGCGCTTGCCTCTCTCCCACTGCATAGCAAGCGACAGCCCACCCCACAGCTGATCCACCTTCACAAACCCTGTTTCACCCCACAGAATGCTCAACAGTGGATCAAGTCAGTACAGGGCTGGAAAAGGGCAGAGACACCTGGATCGTTAGACCCAAAACCTTTTTTTGTTTGTTTGTTTTTTGGTATGGAAAAGGTGAAAGTGTCAGAGGGAAGGAAGAGCTTTGCTGAGCTATTTACAGAAATGGGTTGAAGAGCTTCCACACTTGGCAGTTGGCAATACAAACAGGCCGTCCACGGGTTGGGGCCAATTTTTAATAGACGGTTTTCTTGCTTGAAGTGGTTTTTGATACAATTTTCACGCTGGAGCTTCCACCACCCCCTGAGGAGACACGGCCGCCTCCAGTACTGTAACCGCTACCGCCTCCCAGACTGACCCCAGAAGCAAACCCACTGCCGCTACTGTAACTGCTGCCACCTCCGAGGGAGTAGCCGCCGCCGCCGCCGCCACCACCACCGAGTGCGAATCCTCCTCCGGATCCTCCTCCGAATCCTCCTCCCAGGCCAACGCCATGTCCTCCTCCCAGTGAGAGTCCGCTTCCACCACCAAATCCAGAGCTAGTGGTACTGCTGACGACAGCTGGAAAACATTTTTTTAAAAGTGAGTTCCTGGTGTGATTTTGAAAGAATAATCCACTTCAGAATCTCCTTGAAAAACCCCAGAAATAGAGGTGGTACTTACAGTAGCTCACGTTTCCAACACCTTCTGCCAGCCTACAATTACAAAAGAAGAAAACAATTAATATAATACATTGCATGTCTTTCTTCCACCCCAACTGAGGACAATGTATGTACTGAGAAAACAAGAGTGAGAAACCATGATTTGAAAAAAGAGGGAAGTAGAGATAGTTGTGCTGAAGATAACCGTCCCTTACCCATGTGTGGAAGATTTTTTTAGGGGGGTTTATGGTCCACATCACCCCATATTCACTAGCCATTACTGGTGTTGTAGTCCAAAAAAAATCAGACCATTTCCCAAGCTCTTTGTGGGGCAACGTATATGGTGCAGATAGAAATACATCCGGCTATGCTCACAGTGTCACTGAGGTGCAGTGTGTAGAGTGTTGGGCTAGGAATCAGGAGACATGGGTTCAAATCCCTGCTGAGCCACAGAAACTCAATCGAGGAGGAGCGGCAATGGTAAATTACTCCTTGTACACCTCATATACCTCAAGAAACTTATGAGAGTTACCATAAGTCAGAAATGACTTGACAACACATAACATACACATTCATGCTCAACTTGTATATTTGTAAATATACACTGATATTATGAAGTGTCCCAGTGTCCAGTGTCAAGAGATGATAAATCTGGGGGGGAAAACGCTGGGCAACCCTTGGAATTTTTCATCGGCCAGGGAGGTAGGAAGAACAAACATACATGACTGTACGTGTTGCAATAAAGACGTCTTGGGAAAATGAGAGAGGGGGAGGAAAGAAACAGAAGAAGAAAAGCGAAGGAGTGTAGAAGAGAAAACTGAAGAGAAAGATTGATGTGAAGCTGAGAGAATCTCCTAAATATTTTTAAAATATTGCTGTTATTTTGATCATGCAATTTAAAATGAGGAATATTTTACTGATGCCTTAGGATTCTGGATGGCGAGGCTTCATTTCAGTGTTGGAGAAATATGCCATTCCAATATCACTCCTCTCGGAAGGAATGCTCTGGCGTAACAATATAGAAGATAAGCTTATAAAAAAAATCACAGAAGCACGAAGTTGGGGCTCCTGGTGCTACAGACACATCTTTCAAAATGTGACTCGCAACAGAGTTTTGCCTAAAGTGAAATTTGAGCTAAAATTTAGAAGTGAAACATCTGAAGGAATGTTACATTTGTACACATGTGTTGTGTGTCTGTGGAATTTAAAAGTAATTTTAACAAATCCTATAGTACAGGGACAAAAGGGGGGGCTTAGTTTATTCGATGGTTTACCCCATTTTGCAGGAGCTTTGCTTCTCCCAACCCACCTGATTTCCTCTCCTTCCAGGAGCTTTCTGTAGGTGGCGATCTCAATATCCAGGGCCAGCTTGACGTTCATCAGTTCTTGGTACTCCTTGAGTTGTCGTGCCAGTTCTGCCTTTGCTCTCTGCAGGGCTTCTTCCAGTTCACTCAGTTTATGTTTGGCATCCTTCAAGGCAAGCTCCCCACGATCCTCGGCCTCTGCAATGGCTGCCTGAAGATTAGCACACTGCAAATAAAAAGAGATTATTAATAATATTGTTATTGTTATCAATGTATTATTAGGGGCAACTGGTGCTATCTGATCTTCCCTTTTCCGTGTACCAGAAATAATTTGGTTCAACACCATTACATGTAATTCAGCTTCTCCCAACGTGGGGGCTCATCAGATGGTTTACACGATAGCTCCTAGGAGACATACCATGTTTTTCTGTGTATAAGACTTCTCCATGTATAAGACGCCCTCCACTTTTCTAACCCAAAATTAAGAAATCTAAATGGGGCTTAGCAAGTGTAGGGGGAAAGGGATCAAAGCACTGCAGGATCGCTTTGATACCTGCTTTCCCCTCCACCTCGTTTTTTCTCTCCTCAGCTTACTTCCATGTATAAGACGACCCTCAATTTTTAGTCTAAAGATTTTAAACAAAAGTATAGTCTTATACATGGAAAAATATGGTGGCCTGCATGCCTAATGGTTAAACTTCATGAGGTTTGTAGTCTGAAGCATCTAGAGAGTAGTAAGACCAAAGGACTGGCATATTTTTTTCTTCTCCATAAATCATGAGAAAGAATACATAAGTGGGTAAGGGATTAGCTGCACATATCCCAGCAAATTGTCCATGTTACCCAAAGATTAAAACAAAATTTTTGTGTTCTGGAGAATTTTTGAGTCCTTCTGTCACTCTTTCCCTGCCTTCCAAAGTTGGTGATATTAATCACTGAGTCTATGCAACATATACCAAATTAGATAGGTCTTCAGTTTTACGGAACACATTTGGAAATGGTTGCTGCAGAGACCAGAGATGTGAGACCCCTTTTGTTTGCTTGGTTTTGGACTATTTAACTCAGAATTCCCCGTGGCCACAGTGGCTAGGGAGCATTTTCTGGCTCTAAGGGTGACTTCCAGAAACCTGGTACTATGGGACCCTCCCTGGATAACTTCAGGATGACTGTTCCTTCCAATCCCTAATCCGTTATGGATCATCCCAGAACAATTTAGCACACAATCAGTTCTGGGACAGAGTCCTCAGGAGCAACAAAGCATCATGAATAACCGCAATGGCCATCATTAGCCATGTGAACCTTTTAAGGTGGACACCGCATTCTACATGACCTTCACATGTAGTAACCAGGGGATGGTGGAGGGGGAAATTCCTGTTCTCATTTGCAAAAACAGTAAATGCCCCGTATTCAGCTCTTTAGCAAAGACACTCTGGAGACTTTGTGCCATGAGAAGGACGATATCTGTGATACAATTACTGTCCTGGTAGAAATTATAATTCCTGATTATATTTCCAAAACATACCCATATAAAGCTAGATTTTAAGAAACATGACTGGAAAGGTGATTTATGTAGCGGTATGGCTCTTTCTTCATGCTGTGTCCCTTGGCCCAATGCCTTATATTAAGGCAAATTAGTATTTTAATATTCTGAGGGAAGAGTCCCAGAAACTAGGTTTCTGTGTGTGTTGATATACTTAGGGCAGGGACCGTTCCGTGCCTTTCATCTACCAATGCAATACCTAGGGAAAAGTGGAGGAGGGAAACCTTGCTCTCATTTACATTGCCTAGAAGAAGTGGGAAGGGAAACACAGGTAGGTAGTGGAGGGTTTTTTTTTTGCATAATTGTCTTCTGGAGCCTGTGCAACAAGACTTGTGATGTTATCAGTCCTGGGCCAGGTAGAAAAACTGGAAATCATAAACCTGCTTACCTGGGGAAGGAGGGTGGCATTTCAAGCTACTAGATTGAGAGAAACGTGACCAAAATATATTCACTTCAATTTCTTTCAGTTGGGTTTGGGATTTCTCCTTGCTTTTCCAAGAAGCCTTAGATCTCTGCAGTTTGCACAGCAGAGATGAAGATGTTTCCCCCTTTAGATATTTTGGACTACAACTCCCACAATCCATCACCATCAGTTATCCTGACTAGCACTTCTGGGGATTGCAGCCCAGACATCAGGCAGGCAAAGTTTCCTCAGCTCTGACATGCAGACCTCAGGATCAAAATGATAACCCTAGTTGTACCACATGTAAGAAGTGGAAGGTGGAGGGCATATATATTCTGGGGGAGGGGGAATGCATATTGTGTCACTTTCTCATGGAAGAAAAACACCCATCCTAAAGAAAGAAAGCACACCAGGGAGAAAGGATTCAGCATCTCCATCTCCTGAACATACTACTTTTCTACACGTACAAACAATATCTAGTTACTTTAGGGAGAGATACGCAGTCTGCCCCACTACAAATGAGTAACAGTGGGCACAGTTATTATAGAGCTAAGTAAAACACAGCCTGTCATAAAGACGGCATCGGTGCTAAACTGCAAGGCACGTTCCATTTGTACCTGTTTCTTCAAGGCGTCTATTTCACTGCGCAGCCTCTGGATCATCCGGTTAAGCTCGGTGATTTCTGTCTTTGTGTTGCGGAGGTCATCACCATGACGCCCGGCAGAGACTTGTAGCTCTTCGTACTAATGTTCAGAAGCAGAGAAAAAGAAGGGAAGTTACATATTTTTTAAAATATATATATTTTTAAAAGTACAATTTTCTGATCAATATATGTAAGACAATGAGGTGATTGTGCATTACAGAGACCTGGCATTGGCCTTTTTGCTGCCTGAGTTAAAGGGGACCTCCCATACTCTCTGTTTATTTACAGAAACAGACCAGACAGGTAGTTGTTGCTTCTATTATCTGGGGAACAAGATAAGATCCTCCATCACACTTAGGGAAAGCTCAGCCATCCACCAAGCTTTATTTTCCAATAACTCATTACCCTGGTCTGCCTAAGATTACAGCTGTCTCTGCAAGGACCTCTTACAGACGGAGCAAATCTCTGCTTTCTCCAAGAAGAGAAACGAAGCTGTGCTTTCTGTCATATAGTGATCCAGACCTCTCAGTTCCAGAGAGAAATCTGAGTGAGAAAACAAATGTGACTGAAGGTAAAATACGGTAGTACCTGGGATCTTCCCCTTGCTTATGTGGTGATGTTTTTTTAAAATAATACATACCATCCTTCCTTTAAAAAAACTTTAAAACCTTAAAAAGTGGTTAACAAAGCATTTTTGCATTAATTAATTAATTAATTTTTACATTAATTGGAGTAGACCTCTGGCCTCTTCCAGTTCTGGTTTTATGTATGTGTGGGGTCATTGTTAACATATCTGCCTGAGGTGATGTAGGCAAGATACCCTTCCTTCTAAGGACATAAAATGGTCTTCCCAGTCCCATCCTTCTGAGCGCATAAGCTGATGGTTCCCAAATTTGAGGGCCCTGGTGCTTTTGGACTCCCACTTCCAGAAGTCCTAGGTAGCATGACGCAGGGCCTCAGAGCTTTTGGAAGCTATTTGTAGGAAACCTGGTCCCCACATTTGGGAAATTCTACTCTTGGCCTTTTACCAACGGATCACCTCAAGTCTACTCACCTTGCTTTGATACCATGCTTCTGCCTCGCTTCGGCTCCTATTGGCAATATCTTCATATTGGGCCTTGACTTCAGCAATGATGCTGTTCAAGTCTAAACTTCTGTTATTGTCCATCGAGAGCACAACAGAGGTATCAGATACTTGCTGTTGCATCTGAGCTAGTTCCTGCAAGGAAGATAAAATGGTTTCACTTAGAATGAGTGGGATGAAGGGAACATGACTGTTTTGCAAGGGGTGAATCCAACTGGATGTGGATTTTAAAAATAAAAAGCTCCAGTGAGTCTTCATAGCCCAAATTTACTTCCAAACATTCCAGCTTACATTCTCTTTCAAATATTCACACAGAATGAAATTTCCTGATCTGATTTATTTGGATTTAGGAATGTTAGTGGAAGGAGACTGTGTCAAAGTATTTAACAATCTAGTACATGGCTCTGTTGTTTCAAAAGTTACCCCTGAGCTGGGTTGGGGGGTTTGTCTTTTAAAATCACCTAAAGTTAGGTTTCAAAATCAAGGTGGTTTTTGATTTTTCACTGGACAAATCACATGGATGGCCATCCAGAGATTAAGCCTTGGTGGCTAGCACAGGTGATGGGAACACTTTTGTTTCCCTGCTACATTGGGATGTCCAGCAAAGCCTACAGCATTAGGTAGTTTTTGAGGTGCATCCCTTCCCCCCCTTGTTCAGTTTGCTCTTTGGTTTCAACTAATTGCCTGCAGTTTAAACTGACTAAAGTAATGACCCAAAGGTTTTCATTTAGTTAGAGGCATGGGTGTGTGCCAGCAAAAGAGAACATTGCCGTGAGCATCCGGGATTCTGATCAATGGAAGCTGGCGGATCTGATTTTGCAGGAGTGCTTTTAAGTCTCCTCCAGGGTTTAGCATTAACTTTAAGGGAGCTATCCAAGGTGCTGAACTCTATTTTGGAGGTAGCATTCAAGGCCTTGGTTAACGCCAGCAAAGTTTGGATTGGAACCTGGAGTGAATTTGGCAGCCCTGCTGAAGTCAGACTCACCAGCCGTCACTGACTATGCTTCAGGCAAAAAATAAAGCCTCTAATGCAGCCAGTGGTGGGTCTGCTCTTGGCCAACATCCACAATGAACAATTGCTTGCTTGCTTGCTTGATTTCAGAAGACAGATTTTTCCTTTCCTTTTGATGTTGGCACTTTTTCATTAACAAAACCTGCCCCTTTGCAACAGAAATCTTTCACATGCAGGTAGAAAATGAAATACATGACCAACCAGATACACTGCCATACAAGAAACATAGGTTCTTATGTACAAGGAAAATAAATTCTTATTCTTTTAAAAAGAGTTTTAATAAGCTTGGCAATCTCTGCTCTCAGCCCTCCACCAATTCATCATCCTAAGTGCACACCTTGCTTTGGCGCCATGCATCAGCCTCACATTGGCCCCTGTTGGAGACGTCTTTTAAAAGATAGGAATGGCTCTTTTTAAGAAAGTAAATGGGCGAAGAATGAACATTTGTTTCAATGAAATTGTGATGTGTGTGGCTTCCCTTATTTTCCTAGTAGGAGGGGTGGGAACAATATATTCATATTTTTAATTACATTTGTATAACAGCTTGCTTTCAATGGCCTCAAAACAACATACGTGATATTTCTCTGCTCTTTCCATTTATCTTCATAACAGCCTCATCAGGGAGTTCACTCTCAGAAAAAATGACTGCAGTAGTTTCATGGCTTGTTGTGGATTAGAATCTAAATCTCCCATGAAGTTCCAGTCCAACTCCCATGGACTCCACTTTCTCCTTAGCACTATTGTAACTCCTGCAACAACGAGTGCCACCATGGCTACTACTTAACTTGGAGTCTCAGGCAGAATTGAACAGATGCCATCCCTTAAGTATGTTTCCTAATCAAAGTGATTAATATGCCTTGGAAGGGCTGCCAAAGAAAGGGGTGGATTTTCCCTTGCTTGCTAGCATCAAGTCCAGACTAGACATCTTCCCAAAGGAGAAGCGTTATTCAAATCCAATTTATCTGTCTTGATCCAGTAATAATAGCTGGAGGAAATGGCATATACATTGCACAAGACGTGATAATTGATGTCAGTAAGTCTGTGCTTGCCTTAAAATCTATTCATCTTCTCAAACATATTACCAGAGATAGGTGGGGACAAAAGAAAAGACACATACACACGGAAGAAAAAACCTCTCCTTGGAATGATGTGAAATTTTCCCCAGTGGAACATCTAAAGAACCAAGTATTACAAGTTTCAACACAACATTGAATTTGATCGTCTGCAAGCTTTCCCACCCTTCTCCCTTCCCCTTCAGCACTGCCAGAAAGCCAAAGGTTTATTTTCCATTAATGTTTTGCATTTTGGACCACCTTTTTCTGTTATGAATGGGATAATAATGCTGAATTGGAATTGATTTTTTGCTATTCAAGTTTGGGAACTGGCTGAGATATACTTCCACTGTAAACGCTCTAAACTTTACCACATTTACCTTCAAGAATGTTATGCTGAAACAGTAGCACATTCTCCCAGTGGCTGAGAGCCATTCTTTTCAATGCAATCTCAAATTTTAAATGCAACAGCAGTCCATAGAAGGCATCCATAAAGGTGCCATTTCTGGATTTTAAGGGAAAACATTTTTTAAAAATTTCATCGTCTCATATATTTTTAGCCTACTTTACTGATGATGACGTGCTGTCAAGTACATTCTGAGTTGTGGCAACCCTTTTCAGGGTTTTTCAGGTACACAATACTCAGTAGTGATTTATCATTCCCTTCTTCTGGGGGTGCCCTGGGACTATGCAGCTTGCCAAAGGCTACACAGCCTGGCTCTATTCATAGGAGGTCCAGTGGGGAATTGAACTCCCAACCCTCTGACTCTGCAACCAGACAGCTGAACCACTGAGCTATCCAACCAGCATCCAACCTACTTAAAGGCAAGCCAAAAAGTAAGACAATTGGCTATGAAGCTGGAGTTCTATTTTATGTTCCAAGCTATTGCTGCATCAAGGGTGATCAGGGCTAAATGTCTCTGTAGACTCCAGTGAAGACTCACCATTGACTGAGTGCATGAAAAACCCCAAGTTCTCTTCCAGATTATTTCCAGTTATCAGAATTTGCAAAAACACCATAGAGAAATGTTGTCACAAGGCAGAGTAGAGACAGTTTTACTAGGATACGTGTTTGAGTAATCTGATGGTGTAGAAAGCTCATTTCAGCTTGAGAAATGAAATTTTTGAGTGTATTATTGAAAACATTTACCATCTCATAAAGCGCTTTCATGAATTCAAGTTCATCATTCAGAGAATCGGCTTTGCTGCCAAGTTCAATCTTGTTCATGTAGGCACTGTCAACATCCTGTAGAAAACATGGAAATAAAGTCACATTGTAAGGGGAAATAAGATTTCACTTAGCTGATGGGCCATATATATTTTAGAACAAGGCAATGTTTCTTTGTAACCTCATGAAGGATCCAAAACTGTAAGCATTGGTTCTTGTTCCTCCTTTCTGCTTAGGTTTGGCTGGATTGCATAGGCACTAATTCTGTCTAAATGGACACATCTCATATATTTATTTCAAACTAGAAACTGTCCAGATTCAAGCATCAGGTATCCCTAAAGCTGAAAATCCTTTGGCCATACAGTATGTCAAAGTCCTGGAGAACATCCACCCACCAGACCTGACAGCTCTGGTTCAGGAACTTGGACTGGATGAAACAAAATGACTGCTTAGCAGTCTGTGGTCGTCTCTGATACTTTAAACACACATATATTTACCTTCTTAAGCACCACAAATTCATTCTCTGCACCCGTCCGCTTGTTGATTTCATCTTCATATCTATTAGGACAACAGAGGGGTAAAAAGGTGCCGTCAATACTTTCAAAATGAGAAAGTACCACAGAGAATCAAATCAGCTGATCTTTCTGTATGAAACAATGTCCATTCCCTTTTCAGGGACATTGTCCAGGACACTGAGTTTTGCTGAAGCATTTATTGGGAGGGCAACACAATTTGTTCTTCAACTTATCAACCTTTGCAAAAACAGCACCTGCACAGTGTGTGGATTGATGTTAGGATTCCAAACATCTGTTGTAAGATGCACTAGACTATGGGTTTCATATGCATTTGGGAGGAATTCTTTCTTTTGTATTTCTCATATATTAGACGTCCAGCTACACAAGAGCAGTCAGTGACTGGGGAAAAAAGGTGTTTCTCCAATAAGTGGAGCGCTTGTGTACTTGATGGATGAAAAGTATCCATCTTCATTCTTCAGTTGCTAGTTGTAAATTGATTTCTCCTCCTAGCCTGTGAAGTATACAGGTTGAATTAACAGCAATGTTTAAATGTTCAGGGAAGTCTGAAGACTGATTGTGCTTTTATCACACATGCATTTTAAGGGCAGGTCTAAAATACAGATTTCAACAGGACTAGCAGTTGTTCCCACTTCCACAGCAAACCCTGTTAACTGGTGAGAAATGACTAAAAGAGGATCAAAACAGCGCTTTCACGAAACTACAACTCTTTGCTTTCTTACAGAAGGAGGCACGAAAGTTAAAGCCAGAGTTCAGGCGTCTCTCATTTGGACTACAGCTCCCAGAACCCAAAAAAAGGAGGAGGAATTCTTCCAGGCCTTTTCAAGCCCAGCACAACACTAAGAAGAGTGTAGAGCACAACAAATTCTCATAGTGTTTGCCACACCCTTATTACCTATGGATTGACTTGATTACTTTGGTGAATTAAAATGGTCAGTTTTGCAAGCACTCTTCTGATGTGGTAGGTATTCATTCCTTAAGCAACATAGAAAAGCTATGCCTTTGCAACCTTCATCTGATTCATTAAAAATAAAAGAATATTTTTTTTACCCCTAAGACTATGATGTGTGACTAAAATGATCTTCCATCTGGAAAGTGCATCACATGTTTGTACCTATCAGAGAAATGAACTTGACTAGGGACAGTAGGAATCTAAATTCCTACAATCCATGAATCTCAATTCTCACGGGGGCTGGAGGAAAATCAGTGAATCAACAGCCATGCCATAAGTCAGCACTAACAAGAGTTCCATTGACTCGGCAGCTGTCCTCTAGTTGGGGCTAACAATTAGACGTAAGCCACTAGTTGCAGTAAGGAAATGCATGCATGCCAGTGCATAAATTGGGTAACGCTAATTCAGGGCATGATTTAATTTAATTTATGATCCTTTCATTTGATTTGGCACAAGGACCATGTTACCCGAGAGGCATCCTTTTAATGAAACGTCATGACTTGGGGCCAAATCCACCCAATCCAATAGGCAGGGTGGGGCTGGCATCAATCTCTGAAAGATGGGAAGGATTTGTTTGGATTTGGCAGGTTTGTTCTAAACACTTTCATGCCAGATCCTGTGCCAATTTATCCAATTTATTTTGCCCTCCAGCAAGTGGACTTGGAAATGGGGACACGGCTGGGCAGAGATGGAGGAGATGGTGGGAGGGCAGGGGAGAGCTTGTGGGTTTCTGTGAAGGAGTAGCACGAAGAGCAGAAGCCAAGCAAAGATTCTCCCTATCTGCCCATCCCTCCATCCTCTTCTGGACTTAAAGGGACTAATGAACAAAAATGCATAGGACTAGGATCGCACACCCAGAAAGAAATGTTGACCTCCTATGCCTGTCATGTTCCGTGAGTGTCCCCAATGCCTACTAGAACTGATAAGAGTCTTACTTGTTCTTGTAGTCTTCCACCATATCTTGCATGTTTCTCAGCTCTGAATCCAGCCTTCCCCGCTCATTGGTCACATTATCCAAATGCTTCCTCAGGTTATTAATATAGGCCTCAAAAAGGGGATCGATGTTGTTCTGCCGAACAGTTGTCCCCTGCTGTTGCAAGAGATCCCATTTGGTTTCAAGGACTTTGTTTTGCTGTTCCAGGAATCGGACCTGCAAGAAACCACAGGCAAGGCGTTGGCAAGGCGGCAAAGAACCTGTAAGCTCCCACAGGGAGAAAGAGGATGAATTGTCCAGATAACTGTGCGGTCGGATGCCTTTGGGGTAGGGAGCTACCTTCTACTCTGTCAAGCGCCCTACACACAGGCAGTGCCCCGAGTGATATGGCATAGCACTTAGGCGGGGGAAGCTGTGGCCCTTCCAATGCTACTGGAAGACAACTCCTGCCATCCCTGACATTTCAGAGATAGGGAGACAGGCTCTGGACAGGCTCCCCACCCTCGATACAGATCAAGCAGAAAAGAAACAAGAAGGGATGTAAAGAATGAAGGAAGGAGAAAATGAGAAGAAGAAAACGGAGTGAAAAGGATAGAAACATTCAGGAGTTCATTGTTAAAAAGGCCAGGGAAGCTTAACAATTTCTGCTTAGAGGCTTCATTACCGCCAGACCTGTGCTAAACATGTGCTCATATCATTCTGTGGAGGTTACGCAGGTTCACAAGAACCAGTTCTTCAGGAAAATAACGGGCAAAAGAGTTGATTAATAGGTGTGAGTTTATTGGTGCGCTTATTTATATTGTGTTTGGAGGGATTCTGTTTTAATCATTATTGTTTTGATTCTAGCTTACACCCAAGGAACTTTAGCCTTGGTGATATCACCCTGGCTTTTCAGTGTGTAATGCACATTGCGAGGAAATTAGTCTAGAGACTTCCAAAATAGTGACCCAGCCATACATTGGCAGCATGCTCCTCTCCAAGAATGAGTATTGGAGTAACATAGTCTGTCTTATTGGGAGGAAAGCAGACTATAAATAAAACAAACAAATAAATGAACAAATATGGACTGCAGCATTTAGCTTGCAGGTCACTATTGCTTAGGGTTTTTTTAAAAAATTTCTTCCTCTTCTCTAACCAACAGATTGCTTCCACTAAAAATATATTTCAGGAGCAGTCATAATTTTCCAGTGTCATCTGCAGTGCATAAATAAAGTCAAAACTCCCGGCTACCTTTATCAATATATCTGTGCCATCAGTTTTTGAAATATATTTTGAGACATTTTTGAACTGGCCTGAAGTTATGTCCTTCCACACTGCTCAATTTTTGGAGAAGCGGAAGGAGTTCAAGGAAAACAACCAAGGGCAGTATAGTATATTAACGCTTGCAATGGCCGTCATAACTAATGGCAATGCAGCCAGCCCAAGAGGCACTTCTCTGTACAGATATGGATGTGGACCAAATTCTCCATAGATGGCAGAGCCTCTGATTGGTCCATGATCTGGAAACACATCTTGTCACTCATCCAGCCTCACTACAAACTTTATGCCAAGACATTAAATGGTGAATTAGTCGTGATTTACCACAGGCTTACTGTTTCAACAGTATCAGTGACCAAGAAGATGTTAATCCATGCACTTACCTTGTCAATAAAGGAGGCAAATTTGTTGTTGAGCGTCTTGATCTGTTCCCTTTCTTGAATGCGCACTCTTTGAATCTCTGGGTCAATCTCAAGGTGAAGGGGTTGCAGGAGGTGCTGGTTGATGGTCACCTCTTGGATGCCACCAGGTGGGCAAACTGGAAACCCAGGGCCACCTCTTCCACCAAAACCTGGGCCACCTACTATAAAGCCAGCACCAGGTCCTCCAAACCCGGGCCCACCACCAAAACCCATGCCACCGGCACCTCCACCAAGACCGACGCCAAACCCATAGCCTGCTCCTCCACCAAATCCTCCTCCACCACCAATAAAACCAGGTCGGAAACCACCTCCAACGGTACTGTAGGAGATCCGTTTGCTTCCGCCTACGTTGTACAGACTCCGGCTACCAAATCCACCGAGTCCATAGCCACCAGCTCCAGCCCTTCCTCCTCCAACACGAGCCACAGAGTAGGAGCTGAAACTGGATCGCCCACCACCGCCACCGCCACCACCGACAATTGCAGAGCCGGAGGTGAAGCCTCTGCTCCCTCCTCCACTGGATGCTCGATAGGATATACGGCTCATTGTGGGTTTGTTCAGAGAGAAAATGAATGTGAAGGAAGACTTTGACTGAAAGCGGAGCAGCAGAGAAAGAGCAGAGAGTGAAGAAGGCAGAAACCCCTCTGATATAGAGAGGCGGGAAGCCTCCCCTTTTATTTGTTTTGGAAACAACCTGGCAAAGGATGCAAGGCAATCGCCTCTGCTGGAGATGCCTTGCAGCAACTTGTCTCCACAGACACACCCACTTCATGCGACAGTGAAACTGGGAAAGTGGATGGGGTAAGAGGAGACTTAGTCTGCAGCCTCAGATGAATGCAAGCTATTCTTTTTAGATGGGTATCTCCTTAGGGAAAATTAAGGAAGAAAGAAAGAAAAAAGAAACTAGAATCTATGCACAACCACAGTTCTGCAGATGTATACACAGAGCTTCCAACTGGATCTATTTCCCAGAGGGATGAGAAGATATCCTGTCTTAACGCTTGATCTACACAAAATGTAACCATGTACATTTCATGCATCTACCAGGACTCTTGCGGATTATTGCTGGTGAGATAGGCATGGGGAACCCAGTGGGACATTAAGCAGGCTGTGCTGAGATGGATACTTATGGACGATGCTCTATGCAACTCATGAAAGAGCTGCAGTTCACAAAAACATGTACTATAGTAAATTTGGTAGTCTTTAAAATGTCCCAGGCCTCTGGATCCCCCCCCCCACAAAGTAATGATGTCTGTTCTAACTGATCCTCCTTTTTCAAAGCCTTTTTTTGTTTGTTTTTATGGAATGTGCCTGAAGGATCAAACATGTGAAGCTGCTGAACACTGAGCCCCAGCTTGGTCCACCTGTGTCAAAAGACATCCCTCCCTTAACCCCCTGGGGTCTTCCTCCACCCTGTTGCCAAGACCTAAAGCCTCCAAGGACTGAATTATTAATGTTCCCCCAGTGCATATGCTCTACTATTGAGCTTAGACTGACACAGACATCTCCGTGAATTGCATGGCTATAAGCACAGGACTGAACAATGCTTTCCATCCTCTGGAGACAGCCAAGGCAGCTCATGGACCAAAAGAGGAGGCACCTCATGCCAAAATGGCTAAGGGCTACCTGTGCTCCAGTCCTTTGATCCCATCTTCTATTACTTCTCTCCCCCCCCCACTTTGGAGGTAATTCCCCAGCGTGGAGCTTACTCCATCATACACACAATCTAGGATCAACACTCCTAGCTGCTCCCTATGATTTGGTGCAGACCAGAGCCATTTTTGCCCATTGCTCGCTGTCTTTATCTATGATCTCAAAGCATTTTTTAGAGACAGTGTTGGAAACGCGGCTCCTGACTAACATTGCAAAAGATATGCTGGAAGCAGAAAAAAAAACAAGACACACGTTCTAACATTATTTGTACTCCGGAGCGGGGGGGGGGAGGAATTAAATTAGGAATCAGATGAAGTCCTCATGGCATGGTGGGCTTTCCTGCGCTGCAAGTATCTCAGCGAAGGTTGCATAGCTGTGTGTCTGATGCTATTGTTGCAAGATTCCTGCACCGAGCAAAGGGTTAGCCTAAAGGAACTCCAAGATGTTCTCCAAGTGTACAACTGAAATTTCTCTCTCCAGCTATTTGGAGGAAATACCAAGTCAGTCCACAGGAACTGATTCTACCATCCCATCTTCACACATTCCTTTGGTCAGTTCTACCCTGGCTTTTCGAAAAATAGAAAAATAAAAAATGGGATTGCCAACACCAAGACTTCCCCAGCATCTCCTCCTTTATGGCCATACTATGATCTCTTTTAATTTAATTTACCTCTAAGAAATGGCAACTTTTAGACAGAACAGTTGCTGCTATTGGTCAGAATAATTTGAACAGAAATATTCCCTTTGAAATGCCCAGCCCATTCTTAGCTCCTGGATTAATGTTATACATTCAGTATAATCTTTTTTTTAAAAAAAACAACACCAAAAACACACAACATTTATTCCTTACTTGTTAAATTGTGATACTAAAAGATCAGTGATGGCTTAGTGAGTATGATCTGAATATATATATATATATATATTTCAGCTTCCTCTCTCCTGTATGGTGAAGGATATGGGTGTATATGTGCCTGTCTGCCTGCCTGTCTCTCCCATAATAATTCTTAAATCACTTGTTTTGAAACAGTGCAATAACTTCTGAGCTAGAGTTGGGAAATTGCAATGAAGGTGTCATTAAATGCAAACAGGCAACAGTGAGAATAATTTCATATGCACCCTTTTGCAAAGTGACTTTGGATTTCTTCCCCAGATAAAGCTCAAGAAGATAACTGTGTCTTTTTAAGGCAAAAACAATCCCTTTGAGATGCAAGTTATTCCTGTCACCGGCCAGAGATGGACTCGGCTTGAGCCCCTTGATCTTGAATGCAACCTTTCCCCATAACTCAGGTAGGTTGGGTTGTAGTTTGTGGCCACAAAAACACTTGAAGCACCTTTCCTGCTCTTGGGAATCAGCTAAATGGGACTCAGCCTGGCCGACGTCTGCAAAGAAACCTTTGAGGATTTCCCACAAGCCACACACACTCGGCGCTACCTATGGCGGAAGAGTCGGGAGCTGCTAACTTGCAACGTCAGCCACGTTCTCCCCTTCCAGCCAACATCCTTGATTTCATTGCAGTGATGTGCGCAGGAGGCAGGTCTGCCGCTAGAATACTTGGACTGGCACAAGAGGCACCCTTTCGGAGTTTGTAGAATCAGACCTGTGAAACCAAGCCCAGAGATGGTATCCGGACTGAATAACTGAAGGGCATCAGCCTTGTCTCCCTGTTGGAAATGGTTGCAAGACATGGGTGGTTATTGTGCTTTCTCGCTCCGTCGAGAGGGCTTGATGGAACCTGAATCCAAAGAACCCATTTCTTTTCTCACGGCACTCAGCAAAAGTGTGGTGTTTGCACAATTTGTTCCACTTGCAGGCATTCCTGTTGCTGAGCCCTGCCAATTGTGTTAGTCATTCACACCTCAGGCTCATTGAAAAGAAGGGCAGAGATATTGGATTGCTGATTAGCCTTGCTTAGAAAGATGTTCCAAATGCACGGGCAAGCCTGTGCTGTAGCAAGGGGGTGCTGCAATCTTGGAAGTGAGGGAGACTGATAGCAAGGGGGTGCTGCAATCTTGGAAGTGGCGCGACTTCTTCAGGGAGATTGGCAAATGGTAGGCTCCCCTTCCCCTGCCCTGCTGTGCTTTGATACCTTTGGGAGATGTCAAGGCAAAAGCTGAGATAAGCCTGAAGCATGGAATTCCCAGATAACCAGCTTCAATGCATGCTTTCTTGGAACATCTGGGACATCTCATACCTCAATAACGGGGCCTGAGTTTTGCCTTGAACAAGGCCAGGGCATCTCCAGGCAAAGACTGCAAAGGGAGGGCCTCTGCCACTCAGGGCTGGTGAATGTGTGGACTCACAAAGGTTGCTGGACTACAATCCTCACCAGTTCAGGGCTGGTGAATGTGTGGACTCACAAAAGGTTGCTGGACTACAATCCTCATCAATCCTGGTCAGCTTAGCCAACAGTAATGCTGAATCTTTCAGGCTGCATATTCCTCATCCTTAGAATGAATGAGCCAATTGGTTGATTCGGTTGAAATCCGCTGCATGTTATTCTAAGGATACACAGGAAACTCTTGCCAGGAATTCCTGTCAAGTTGTGCAGGGCTCTGGAGGGTGTGTGTGTGTGGGGGGTCATTCCGTCATCTGTAACACAATCTAGGGGTCTCTGTGTACACAAATGCATGCTGATTTTCAAGTTTGCTCCTGGGCTGTTCCCTTCCATAAGAACAGGGGTTCCTAACCTTGGGTCTCCAGATGGTCTTGGAGTAAAACTCTCAGAAGTGGGCTGTTCCCTTCCATAACAACAGGGGTTCCTAACCTTGGGTCTCCAGATGCTCCTGGAGTAAAACTCTCAGAAGCCTTCACCACAAGCTGTCCTGGCCAGGGACTTCTGGAAGTTGCATCCCAAAAACATCTGGGTTACCCAAGGTTGGGAACCACCGTACTAGAAGGATGAGAAAGGGAAGCCTCTGGTATGGAGAGGAGCAACAGAAGTCCCTGGACTGATGGAAGCATTTCCAAGGAATTGCTGGATTGGGGAAAACTGATATGCAAGCCTTTTTTTCTTGGGAGGTCCACTGAAGCCTTTACATATATAATAGGCATCACAGCCACTTCATGTTGGGTATATCCCAGAAGAGACAAAATAACTTACAGAGCTCGTTGTTAATTTCCCACCCCCATCCCCTACAAAAAGAAAAGGAGATAAAAAGAGAAAGAAGACATTCGTATCTGTTGAATAAGTTTAGTTTTATTGTTTCAAAATGTAATTCTAGTTTCTGGTTTGCATGCTCCTTGACCAGGCTTAAATTCAGCCCTCTATTCTTTTGAGACATTATCATACTTTACACCAGTGGTTCTTAACCTTGGTTACTCAGGTGTTTTTGGACTGCAACTCCCAGAAGCCTTCACCACCAGCTGTGCTGGCTGGGTTTTCTGGGAGTTGCAGTTCAAAAACACCTGAGTAACTCAAGGTTAAGAACCACTGCTTTACATGATCATTGGTGCAAAACATCAAGCACACACACACTTTAATTTGCTTTCTTAGGGATAGCACACATTTCAGTTACAGTAAAAAAAAATTCTAGACATCGGATGGTAGTCCAAGTACATACATCTAATGTTTTATATAGAATTTGGGGGTCTTTCTTGTCATTTTAGTTCAAAATGAAGCTTCAGGAGAAAAAAAAATCTGACTAAATCCATATCTAGAATATTCCTTTTTGGAGGGAATAGTGACAGACAAGATTTGCAGTGGTACCAGCAGAAGTATACGTGCATTTCTTTTTCCTTTTATATATATCATTGTTGGGGATTCTTTAGGCTTTAGCTTCTGATGCTCTTTTGGGTGGTGGTGGTGGAGGTTTTGGAGATAATTTTCACACCGGAGCCAGCACCTGTCCCAGTGCCTTTTCCACTGCCCGAACTGAAACTTCCTCCTCCAAAACCTAACCCACTACCTCCACCACCGCCACCATAACCAAAACTAAGTCCAGATCCAAGGCCACCACCTCCTCCTCCAAGGCTCAGCCCACTTCCAAGGCCAAAACCACCACCACCACCGCCTCCTCCAAGACCGAGGCCGAGACCGCCAAGTCCTCCTCCAAGACCAAGTCCTCCTCCTCCTCCTCCTCCAAGACCAAGACCACCAAGTCCTCCTCCACCACCACCTCCACCACCACCAGAGGTGACCACAGCTGTAAAGAAAGAACAAGGAGTTAATTAAGTGCCCTGTAATATAATCATCGCTCCATAGCAGACCAAGACAGAGAAAACACTCAGAACAGGTTTAGTTCAATGTGGCTATTTTAGCTCACAGATCTCTTGTATTGAGCTACATCACCTGGACTTCAAGGGATGGGCAAAAAAAAAAAAGTCAGGAAGCTGGTTTGAATGACAGATCCTGCATGGGGCTTTTGTGTGACTTGTGAGGGGAGACGAATGAGCCTAAATCTAAGTGAGGGTCCCGACTAGAGCAGCAAAGGGGTTTACAGAAATTTTGACTTAGCATTCTGCAACTGATTCAACAGGTCTACTCTAGTGGAACTATCAATTGTATTAAAGCTGGAGACTAATTTGTCAGAAATGTCTGAGAGCCATCAGAGCAGGAAGGTGGAAGGCAATAAAATAAAATAAAATTAAAAGCTCAACTCTACTTAAAACGGGGGTGAGCAGCATACAGGAGTGGGTCTCCAACACCCCTGGAGTGCTTTAATACCCACAGGCCCCCCGTCCAGTATTCCCAAAATTATTTTTCTAAGTGTCTACAGGTGTCTTCTAGCAGTACTGAGGCAATCATGCCAGGTTCTCGGGTGGTCTCAACAGCTCTCACCCCTTACACTTCCCTGATTTTATTTAATTTTTTTTTTTTAGGCCTCTAGAGGCTGTGAGAGGACTATTCCGGCAAACTCCACCCTGTTCTTGCAGGGAAAAAACTGGAGGTATGGCTTGCAGGACTATGTGTGACCTTCAAAGGTCCAGAGGATAGTTTTTGCCCCCTACTCGGACTTTTGGAGATCACCCACTCCTATCAAAAAAGGAAGAGGAGGGCTTGTTGGTTGCTGAAAGTAACAGCTCACTCTCTGCGTGAGAGTCTGGTGGATGGAGGTAGAAATTCAGACGGAAGCCATAGCCTTTGGCCTTCCATTTTGAAGTGTTGGGAAAGGAGGTCGAATCTCGCGAACAACAAGGAGAATACCAACAGAAGAAAACCTTGCTGCCCCCTTCAAAACCACCCCATCCAGTCTCAGGCAGTCTGGGGAAGAATGACTCTCTTCTGACAGAGTTCCCCCACTTCTCACATAGCACAGCTGCCTTCCCATGGCGGGTATGGGAATCTCCTTGGAAAAAAGGCACCTGCCTTTCCTTAGAAAAATCCCAGCTATTTGCTATTGTTCTCAACTGGTTGTGCCGGAAACTCTCCCCTGGAATGTACTAAGGATGCCATGCAAATTTGTTTAGGTGCCTAATTTGGATTCCATCTTTGCTCTAAGTTGTCCAAACGAGTATTGGCTGAATGACACTGCCCCTTCCTGATGCTGTTTCCTTCTGGTTTTGAAGTGCAGGCTCACCTCACTCTCCTAGTGGTGTGTCCATGTGTGTGCATGTGTGTGCGTGAGGGAGAGCATACAAAGTGATATTACTAGGATTCCCTTGTACCTGTCAACTGCAATGCAAGCAAGCCTGGTGCAACCTTCTTAAATAAAGCCAGTGCCCTCGTATTGCCAGAAAGAAAGAGACAGAGAGACAGGTGGGGTGAATGCGGCATGGGCCCTGTTCCTTACAACAGAGTGTTGATGCTTACAGCCTTGCATTTTAGCTCATCCACCCCTGAGTCTGGAAAAGTCCCCTCCTTGGACTACAAGTCCCAGAATCCCCAGCCAGCATGCCCATGTTGGCTGGAGGGATTGTAGAAGTTGTAATCCTAAAAAAGTAACATTTATAAGGTCTGACCAAGTTACTCCAATTCTTCCTAAGACATATGAGCTGAAACTCAGTAGTACATTGCAACTAGAGTCGGTCCATTGAATCAGAGGGGATTTGTTGAGCCAGCTCCTCTAGAACATCTATTGATTCAAATGGGTCTACTCTAGTTGTGCCTTACTACAGGATTTCAGCCATTGTGCATTCTAGCACCAAATTTGGTCATGACTAAATGGTTCTGCCTCACATAT